GATCGCCAAAATGGCGCACAACGAGATTTGAATTCTTGGGCAAAATCAATACGCGCCTACCTTTGCTGCGTGTTCAATACTGGCCTGACTTCAGCTGAAATCTGACGCATCTTAATTTTTTCATTCAACTCTGCAGAAGGGAATATGAATGGCAGGGAAGATCTTCCCGTTGGATAGACGACAACAATTTTCTGCAATGTCTTTTCAGAGTAATACGAATCAGGTCGTCCTCCTGTTTGAATGTACTCGATTTACGGCCCCCACAAGCTTTTCGGGTTGTTGTTTTCCCATGGATTATCTTGTCAATTGTGCTTTTGTCAATGTTAAAGCATTGGGCAAGATGTGATATGGAAAATCCCAGCTTGTGTGCTCGTGCAATTCTGTTTCTGTCCTGTTCACTGAGATAACGGGAACTTTTGGTTTCAAGCCCTGCTTGCTTCATTATGGTGACAACAATACGAACATTCAAAGCTGTGCACAAAAATGACCTTGATTTCAAGGTTGACTTTGATTGAAGTGGTATTTCTCGAATTGATTGAGTTAGATGTCAAACATAGATTATTATTATTATGAAACCTTATTTAATGCAATTTCTCTGGGTTGTGAAAGAATTTCATTTGGTTATCCAATGGCGTTACTATAATGGATTATACATTAGATAAAATAATGCCTCATTACAAATAAGGGGAATGGCAAGGGTTGACGGAAATAATTTGGGATAATTCTTGAGTCATTCTTATTAGAAAGTATTGCGTTGTCATACTTGATACAGTTTGCGATTCTCATGTTCAGATCATTTATTCTTGGCACTCAAGGTCAGGTACGTTTAATTGACAATCATGCAGCCCAGAAACTACGCACATCGAAGTAGACAAGATATAAATTATTGTCCATACCTAAATCATTAATATTGGTGATAAATATAATGAAACTCCCTTTGATCATAAATAAAATATTTTAGTGCATCACGATCGGCCAGTATACATATAATATACTGTAATCTATTGTGAATATTGTTGAGCGAATACAACTCACAGAACCAGATGTCAACAATCGAGCACAGCTCACACGTCATAAGGTTCGTTACAAAAATGGAAATGTCTTTTTACTTCCTTTTTATCTGATTGAATATACAAATGTACAGTCAACACTCAGGAAGGGGGCCGCGGCCATACAAATGCTGTCTGGGAAGACGAGCGGCGGTGCAGCGGCTCGAGCCTGGGACTCTCAGGTGACAAGCTGGTGATCTGACCATCGCTCATCACTCGGACTGTAAGCATGGTACTGGAAGGCGATGATTTTCCACGATTACAAATGTGTTCTAAAGCAGCAGTGGAGTGTTGACCGTTTGCTAGCTGCCTTTGGTGATGACGACCCTTCAAGAAGCACTGTGATTGAATGGTTTGTGGAATTCAAGCGTGGCAGGTGATCGATGGATGAAACACGGCGTGGTGGGCCTGCAGAGGCCACCACTGCGGATAACATTGCATCTCTGCAAGCGATGGTGGAAGAGGATGCGTGGGTGACCGTGGTAAAACTGGCGAAAGCCATAGGGATCTCATCAGGGTCAATTCGCACCACACTACATGAGAAGCTCAGCATCAGAAAGGCTTTTGTACGCTGGGTATCCCATCAGCTCAGTGAGAAACAGAAAGCAGTTTGGGTGAATCGGTGCCGAACCATACTTGTCGGGTTTGATGGTGAACTTTCCAATGCAGTTTGGGAGATAATCAGCGGTGACCTACGGTGGGGTGCCGACTCGGAAACTCCGACGGGAGCGCAGTGTGGTAAAGTAGATGGTGTTGGCTGTGTTCATGGCCAAAACCGGCCATGTGGCTACTGTACCGCTCGCACAGCA